TTCAGTTGATATGTCAGATTCAATATGACACAGTTGCTGATTATTGATATTCTACATTAAAAATATTTTTCTTATTTTATTCGGGCTACTTAAATTCATTTCGGGCTAGTAAAAACCAAAGAGTACCTGCCCGAAGGGCTACCAGGGGTTTTGAAATTTTGCGAGCCCTGATGTGTCAGACATGAGGCTGCAATTAGATGCAGAGGACACCAAAAGAGAGACTGGAAAAAATAGGATTTATTGTCTACCATTAGGACTCCTGCACATGTTTGTAATTCCCGCAGCATTGACCTTTTGAATTAATATATGGCAGACCTTACATTATTTCACAATTAAAACCTTTCCAGTGTCCAGATGAAGAGGCTGAACAAGCCTTGGAAGAGTATATGACATAAAATGCTAACATACAAGAAGTTGTTTGTGCTAGTTCTATTCCAGGAGGACCAGTGGAGCTGCAAATCAAAATTATGAAATCTGGAGAGGGGGTGCTACTGAAGGTGATTAAGAGAAAAAACTGGTCCAGTCCAAGGTAGTAAGATCCATACCAGGTATTGCTCACCACGCCCACAAAAAATACAATAGCTGAGAGGAGATCCTAGATTCAGCTATCCGACTGTAAGCTGGTGACGCCCTTATTTTCATAACACAGGCCAGGGACAGTTAGCTACACACCACAGCTCCCTGAAGCAATGAGCCTGACTACACAGGGGACTTTTTCCAATAGGGGAGAGTCGTCTCAAACTCAGTGAAGAAACCATCGGCCGACGGGTGCATAGGGTGTGATATAAAATATGCAGGAACAAGTAGAAGAAGGGTCAGGAAACCAGCTGAGAAACAGATGTCACATCTCCTCCCTTAGGTAGTTTTCACAGTATTAATGCGTCTCTAGCGGAAAAAAGAGTATAATAGTGGAAAGACCTCACTATACAGGATGTAATTACCTTAGAATCAGGATGTGTTGTCAAAATGATGTTTACTGTTTGACCCCATTTTATCTCACTGAAGAAGCGCATTGGCACAAACCTACAAGGTCCCTCAGATCTTTGAGTCAGTATTTTTAGAAGTTCCTAGAGCCAGTTATAAACGCTGGGGTGACCGTGCTTTTACTGTTGCAGCCCCTAAATTGTGGAACAGTCTAACTTCTAATGTTAGGTCAGCTACTGATCTCAGTACTTTTAAATCATTGCTTAAAACATATTTGGCTTGGCTTATGAAAAACAGTACGCCTGATGCACTCCTTTTATTTCCTTTGGGTTTTAATTTGTTGAACATGTGTTAACTGTGTATCTGTGATATTGTGCTTTTATTTTTATTTTTATTTTTATTTTTGGGCTGTTCTTAAATACTCTATTTATTCATCTATTGTGATTCTATTCTGCTATGTAAGGTACTTTGGTCAGCTGAATTTTTTGAAGTGCTATATACATAAATTTGATTTGACTTGATTTGATACTGCAAGGCAAAGCACCGTTAGCAATTATATTGTTT